TAGAAGAGCTTAGCTAACTGAGTTATCTACATGCAACTAAATTAAATCTTTACTACTGAACCCTAAATTTCTTTGCTATGTTTCTCTATATAGTGCACTTCATATAGTTTAAAATGCACTCAGGTGGTATAAAATGCCTTTTAAAATATTATCTTTTGCCGTTGGCTGTTACAGAACTAGAATTCTTCTGTTTTCAACTTGTGCATTTAATGTCACATTGTCATCCTTAGAGTTCTACTAGTCAACAAAATAAGTTGCTATTTGGTGGGGGAGATTTTAGGGAAACTATCAGAGATTATTGCAGCAAAGAAGGGCAGCAGGAACTGGACAGAGGGCAGCCTTAAGCCACGTGAACACATGTGACTAGTCCAGGGTAGCAGAAGATTCAGCAGGGCACCCAGCTGGGAAAAATTGCACAGGGGAAGAATCACATTGAATTTTAGAAACAGGTAACCTGACTGCGATACTGTTTATGAGGTGGTTACAAGTCACACAGCACAGTCTTCCTGTGTGCAGTGTCACCGGCTGCCTGGCTGTGTGCTCTCTAAAGGAAAAGGCCACTGAGGGAGTCAGTTGTCTAAGAAGGGGGTGCTCAGGGCGGGATACTGACAGCGTTTTTGGAATCTGGGTTTAAGGGGTAGAAGGAGTGTCTTTCGATGCAAGAATCTGACTGAAATTGGGCAAATTTAGTAACGTAGTAGATGAGGTCTTGAAGCAAGTTTTGATAAGTAAACTACTGATAAGCAGCAAGTGACCTCTGCCCAGGGAAGTAATCTTTTCTCATAGAAGAGCTATTTGCCCAGAGGAGAAAGCAGGTCAGTAGATAAGTTAGTTTTCAAGAATTTCCTGATGTAAACAGTGAAATTATTTATTGTTATATAGCCTTACCTTCTGTAGGATTACCCACCTATCCCAGGCACCAAGAGGGTTCTTGAGATTTAAAATGATTCAGGACTTCCCATTTTAAAGCAGGGACAACAAATGAGTTAACTGTGATTTTAAAAACAAAGCTTTGTAATTTTGAGTGCTGACTTAATGAAAGTAATTTTTCCTTTAAGATACTGTGATATTTCCCAGTTTTATTGCCATGACACAAAAGCATCACACTTATAGATAACTTGAAAAAAATTAAACTCCCTCTTTTCCTGGCCTAAAGGAAACCAATCTGTTAAATAAACCATTTAACAGAAAGTGTAGTAGGCTGAATAACACTACTCTCTCCCCACACCACCTGGAGACATTTGGTTCCTGATCCCTAGAGCCTGGGAATGTGTTACATTTGATGGCAAGAGGGACTTGAGAGATGTGATAAAGTGATGGATTTTGAGATGGGGAGATTATCCTTTATCTGGGTGAGCCTCATATAATCGCAAAGGCCCTTATAAGAGGGTGACAGATGATCAGAGGAAGAAATGATGTCACCGTGAGTGGGAGAAAGGCAACATTGATGGGAGCCCATGGACCAAGGAATGTGAGCAGCCTCCGGAAGCTGGAGAAGGCAAGGAAACAGATTCTCCCCTGAAGCCTCCAGAAGGAACCAGTGCTGCATACACCTAAATTTTAGCCCGGTAAGACTCATTTTGGACTTCTGACCTCTAGAACTCCAAGAGAATGAACTTGTATTGTTTTAAATCACTATGTGGTCATTTGTTAAAGCAGCAATAGGAAACTAATACAGCATGTGTCTGGGAAATGAACAGCTGTACCATGCTCCCTTTTGTTATTTCTGGTTGCTTTTATGAGCAAAGCTTGTCTTGCCTAGCAACAGTTGCTAAGTAAGTTAACAGTGTAATCTAGAGTCTTGGAGGGAGCACCTGCTCAGATCTTCCCAAACCCAGTGCCCACACCTCATATGGCAGAGGCTTTCGGTACCGCTCTCTGATGTTAGGCACGTAACCATTCCCTCATCATGGAGAATCACTTCATCCTTGTAAGCCTCTAGCATTGTCCTAAAACCTTGAACCTCTTCCAGCTTTCTTAAACTTCTAGCTTTTCTTCAAACTCCTTTTTCTGTTCTTAAGAGTGTTTTAACTGTACATAGTAAAAGATACTTCAAATCTAATTATGATCAGAACTCCGAATTACACAAGCTTTGTTTGCTGTGCTGTTTGTAATAAAATAATTCCACCAGCCCCTTTTGGGGAAACCTTCAAACGGATCCATGAATATAAGCCATTTAAGACACGCTTTTACACTCACAAAGATATACTGGGTAAGTGACTTTGCTGTTTCCCTTTGTTCTAAATTTTCATAGCTTTGTATGTCTTTCTTCCTGTTAGATAGACTTTTATTGTCTCTCCTGATTAAAGCTGCCTGTCCTGCAGGGGTGCCTGTTTGACAAGAGAAGGATATGGGTTGAAATCTGGCTTTTCTTACCAGTTATGTGCCCTGGACAGGATACTTAGCCTCTTTGCATATGAGTTTCCTTATATGTAAATAAGGACGTTAATACTTATCTTGCAGCTATGTTATGAGGCTTTAATGAAATATTTGTCCCTAGTCTAAAGCCTGGCACATAATAGTAACTGGGAGTTGTTTTTGCCCTTGCCCATACACATGGGAGAGGAAGTATCTCTAAGTAACACCTTAATAAATGGTTGAAAGAAACTATAGTCTTTATTAGTAGCTGGTGACATGAAAGTAGATAGCTACAGATGACATGAGACTAGGTACTATTAGTACACTTCTAATAAGCAGATCAAGTTGTGATTACACATTTCCTTCTCTCCTCATTCCTGTCAGATATTTTCAGTCTGACTTTAAGCCTTTGAAGTGTTTTCTAAGGACTTCCAAAATGCTTCTCTGATCCTTTCTTCCTCTGCTGTGTTAAGTGAGTGGTGATTAAATTTCACTTCTGATCTTTGAAAACATAAGCTAGAGAGTAGAGAACTTTAGTTTTGGAAAAACTAAAATGCAGAGGAGATCAAATTGGGATCATCCCTTAAAAATACCAGTACCAAAGCTGATTACTGATTTTTAACTTTTAATAGATGCTCAGTATGACTTATTCATTATAACCTCTAAATGAACTTTTTACACCCAGAACAACGGATCTCAGTTTTTAGATATACTTCTGTCGATTGATTCCTTATGCCTTCTAGGATATCTGAATCCAAACATTAAGTGGGTAAATTAAAGCATATTGTATAAATGCTAACGAGTTTTGCGTAGGGCAATAGTTCTCAACCCAGCAGTGTCCTACAGAGCTTTTAAATCCACAGTCTCATTGGCTGTAATACTAATCTAATGCAGACCCACTAAATTAGAATGTTCACAATCAGGCCTTAGCACATGTGTGTGTGTTTTAATTTTTAAATATTTTAAAACATATTTTAATAGATTTTTATTTGGAAATAGATGAAGGCTGACAAGTTTTAAAAATAGAACAGAGTTCCCAGGTACCCCTCATCCAGCTTCTCTCATTGACGTCTTACATTACGCTGGTACATTGTCAAAACCAGGAGACTGGGTTTGGAACAATACTATTATATTAATTCAGGTGCAGACCTTACATGCACTTTTTCTCCTTGGTGTATAGTTTTATGAAATGTATCACACATGTGGATTCATGTAACTGTCACCCACAACCAGAACATAGAAATGTTTCTTCACTATAAAGAAGTTGCCTCATGTTACCTCTTAACGCCCCATAACTCGAAACTCTACTCGGTTCTCCATCACTGTAACTGTAGCCCTTTGAGAATGTCACAGAAATAGAATCCAACAGATGTAACGCTTTGAAACTGTCTTTTTTCACTCAGCATACTACCCTTGAGATCCATCTGTGTTGTTCTTTGTGTGCATAGTTTGTTCCTTTTTCAGCGTGTGCATTTTTAGAAAGCTGTGCAGGGATCCTGCTGTACAATCAGGGTTGAGCACAACTAGTATAAAGTAGTGGGACTTCAGTATAAAAAAAAGGTAATAGCAGCCTACACTTGTATCACGTTTTTACGAAACTCAACACGTTAATGGTCCCTGCTTTGTCACATTTCTTCCCAGATCTTTCATAATTATGCCCACACAACTCAGCCTGTGCAATACGTGTCCACCCCTCTCATGGTATTCACTGCCTTATGTTTTTAGACTCATTGATAATCTAGTAGCAAAGACTCTCAATCAGTGGCACCAAACGTGGACTTTCAGTTGCAGGTGATAAGAACACCACTCAGACTAGACTGTATAAAAGGGAATTTCTCGATCCTTTTAACAGAGAAACCCCAGGGGGACCTGGCATCAGGGCTGTAAATCTGTCCACACCCGCTCTCTTAGTGAGCTGGCTTAATCCTTTACTACTGCGGCCAGGCTTGCTCCAGCAGCTGAGAAAGGAGTAGAAGTAGCTTCCAACAGCTCTCATCACCTAACACCTCCAGCTTAGAGACCTTAGAGGAAAAAGAGCCATGTTCTCCTTATAGCCATCTCTAAAATCCTCCAGCATGTGCCCAATCCTGGGTCATTTAATGGGGCCCGGAGGATGGGGATAATGTGCTGGACGAAGCAGGTTGGCTGTTGCAATTGGCAGTCCCAGAGCAGGTGAGAGAGAGTTCTTGAGGAAGATGGGTCCTGTTCCCAGAGGGGCAGAAAAAGTATTGGTCAGACAAACATGTATGTCCCCAGTGTCTTATCTGTGTTTATTACCAAGTGAGGCACCACAAGAGATGTACTACAGTTTGAGATGTGATTTGTAATTTTAATTTTACGAAGTTGGTCATCAAGGCCTAATCACACAGACAGTTAATAATTCAGTGCATCTAAGATGTGAGCAATGAATGGAGCAAAGACTAATTACTGTCATAATTTGAATTGGAGATAAAGATTACGGTGTGTGTGATTTCAGCACTCAGAGGGCTCGCATCCCCACGCAGGTCGTGAGCCGCCTCTCACAATCCACTCCGGCAGGAGAAGTTGGAGAAAGGCCTGGGCCCAGCTTAGTGAGCTCAGTCCAGCTCTGTCCCCAGCTCTTTGATAGCGTGTGGTCCTTGAACCTCCTCAGGCTTTTATTTTCTTGCCTGGGTGGAGAGGGTAATATGAGGATATTATTAGTTGGAAATTAAATGAGATCATTGATAAAGAAGTGCTGAACTCTTGCCCCTTAATTCATTCCACAACTGAAGCAGCTAACTCCGTGAAGACCTACACACTGAAGAGACACACAGCCTATTAAAGAAAGCATTCTGCTGCTGCCTTCCTGGTGGTGGTTAACACCAGCGCCAAGAGCGGAGCAGGGAGAGAGGAGCTGGACTCACCACTCTGTGGGTACAGTATGTACTCCTTTCTGCCACTTTACTCCCCCAGCCGCCTCCATGTGGACCGGAGGTGATGAATCTGGGCCTAACAGTGCCATGAGTTCCTTCCTAACCATTAGGGAAAAGCCTACCCCTCTGCCTGAATCTTTGAAGATTGACATCTCCTAAAAGGGTATATCTCAGATGACTCCAATAAAAAAAAACTCAGTAACTGAAAAGGAAAGCCAAGAAACAGTCTGTGGATATTTATCATTTGTTTTCTTCAAATACACAGATATCGGGACAGATATCCTGAGTAAGGAAGAGCAGTTTCAGGAGGCTATGCTCAAAGAACGTATTGCAAAAGCAGAAGCTGAAATATGGGCTCAGGTAAAAGAGGTTGAAAGTCGACCTAAATGCATCTTTCCAATTCTTTGACTTTTCAGAGTTGTCAGAAATGGTCAAGTCAGGCAGAACTGACTTTGAATGCCGGCTCTCTGTGGGACCCTGGGAAAGTTCTTCAATTCCGTTGTCTTGGCTTCTTCAGATGTAAAACAGAAACAGTAATACTCACGCTATGAAATTGTTGAGAGGGTTTGATGGAATAACGTGCCACAGAGAGCAGGTGCTTAAGATGAAGCAGGCATTGTCAGGAGCTTCTGTTTCTTTTTCTTTTCTTTCTTTCCTTTTTTTTTTTTTTGGTTTGTTTATTTGTTTTGAGGGAGGATGTAATTAGGTTTATCTATCTATTTCAATGGAGGCACTGGGGATTGAACCCAGGACTTTGTGCATGCTAGTTATGCACTCTGCCACTGAGCTATACCCTCCTCGCTATGAGCTTCCTTCTAAATTGCCCCTATATGTGGATGACTCCTGTGCCTTTATTCTCATTGGATTAAAACTTTTCTAAAAAGATACTCTTGTTAATTGTTTATTATTGCTTCATATTTAACATGTAGACCATCCATTTGTGCAGTGTGTAGTACCCTTAACTGCATGTTGTCCCCAAATGCTGCATCATAGCTGACTCCTTTTCACCCTCTCTGCCTGCTCCCCTTTACTCCAAAGTCCTTTACACCTGGTCCACATGACTACTGAGGGCCATAAGGCAATTCGAGTGTGTTGGGGCTCACGGTCAGATCCCAGACACTGAAGAGAAGCAGAATCTTCATCCTCCAACCCCTATTTCGTCCAGCCGGATGGAGAACACCATACATGACTTTCTAAAGAGAATCAGCATCCCCTGAGAGCAGGACAAGCCACAGCGCTTAAACATTATTTCTTGGTCTCTCTATAAAACAGACACCATAGCAAAGAGTGTTGGAATTATCTGGTATTAGTCCCAGCAAGAGCTTGGTATGAAAGTACTTTGAAGGTACAAAATGCTCCAAGGCAAAGGGTAATACATATAAAATCTTAGTAGTCATTTCTCCTTATCAATAATGATAAAATGGAAATTGATTGTGAACTGTTACTTATGTACCCTAATACAATGGGATGCTTTTGTGAATAATCTGCCACTTAAGTATATCGAATGCTTTCTCTTCAAATAAGATAATGAAACGTCTTTCTGAAGACATGGTACAGGGGATCTGGAATGGTACTAAGCCTCCCTTCGCAGCAATTTCTAGCTTTGGCATTTTTCCACTTCTCTGTATTTTCCAGATTTTCTGCAATTAGCATACGTTACTTTGATAGTCAATCAAGCAAGAAATAAAGTGCCAAAGAAAAAGACAACCCAGCAGCCTACAGTAAAGCTCTCATTAGCAATTCCTGAAACATTGATATTAGCCAAGGCTTGGGCTGAGTTACAGCATCTCTGGCCGAGTTAGCCAGTTTGCAAAGGGAGGTTTGAGATGGAACGGAGCCAGTAATCAGGGGCTCCACAGCGGTTGTTCATTTTCATTAAACATAAAAAACTTGACATATTAATAAATAAATGGACTCCTCTTTCTTTCCAAGGCTGATGAACGCCAAAGACAAGCAGTGAAGAAAGCCCTCAAAGAAGCAAAGGACATGTACAAAAAGAGAATTCAGGTCCTGGAAGAAGAACATCAAAAAGATTTACAGGTTTTTATAGTGGCTGTTCGTTGTCTTTTTAGACGTGCTTATGATAGTAGAAAGCTCTGGCAGGGGAATGGGAGAAGAAGACAGTCATACTTAAAATCTAGGTGGGTATTTTATGGAGGTAGGTTGGGAGGTCTGTGATTTTCTCGGAAGAGATGCTGGGCTCCATGGTGGCAGTGATGCATGGATGCAGGAGAATCCCTTTGACATGATGAACCCAAATCTTTATGAGGTTCCAAGGCATGAAGGAGCCACCTGTACCTGGCGGACCCCACATCTCCTGCCACTGGCTCTTCCCTCTTCTCACCACCCTTCTGGGTCCTCGAACCTGTCCGCACCATACTCTTTCCTGCCTCGGGGGCTTTGCCGGAATGTTCTTCCTGCATGTTATCAGACATCAAACATCTCTGGTCAAGGGAAGCCTTACCCAACAGCCCTGCCCCCATGCCCTGTTCTTGTCACCTCATCCTCTTTCCTGCAGTCACCACCCATCACTGGGATCAGTAAACAGACTGGAGGATGACTCATTATGTCTGATGGCCACACGCCTGCAGCCTCCAAAAGACATGTCTGTCTTGCTACAAGGCACCCTTGTCCCAGTGCCAGTACGGTGCCTTGAGTTCGTAACTGCAAAAGCGGAGGCTGAACAGAGGAAGCAGGCTCCTCTCTCCCTTCTCCTGGGCTCTCTGATTGTATCCTTTTTCTTAAATTTCCTAAACAGTGCCGAGAGGGACCCCCGAGCTGTTTCTCAAGTATTTCCTGCAGGACCAGAGGTCATCAAATGAGGGGAACACTTTCTAACCTGTAACCTGTTTAAGTACATGGCTCTAGGTAATTAGCAAAATTAGGCCAGGCAGAGGCCCAGGCCTTTAAACAGCTGAGTTCAAAATCTCCTCAAAGAAAAAGATGCAGAACTCTTCACGTGTGGGCCTTGGGAGGGACAGGACAAGACACAGTGCCGGCGTGATGATTCATGGGCAGAAGCTGGAGGGAAAGTGGCAGACGTCTGACCCCAGGTTTGGCCTCATTTAATAAGAACATAACTAACAAACAGTTCAGGGACTACAGGCCCATCTGTCCCTTGTTTCAGCCATGAGCACCTGCCATTTCTCAGATCTGTACTAGATGAGATTAAAGGGACTGTCCTTGTCCTTGGAAAACTTGCTGGCAGGAAAGGGAGTCCACCCCAGGGCTCCTACAGGATGGTGGGGCCCTCCTTGCTTGGCTCCAGTGACCATGGTCCCTGAGGGCGGCTGCGGTGGCCCACTGCCCGTCCCTGCTTTCAGTTCCAGATGTGAGGGACATTTACAGCACATTGGACAGGCCTGCCAGTCAGCTAGCAGGTACCAGAATGGCCATTCTGGTTCTTGAATAGTAAAATATTTCTCTATCAGTTCATAAATAACCACTCCCTAAGCCCCCGAACACCTTCGTTACCGTAGACCTCCCCCAACCCAGCACTTTGAAGGGTCAACCATTTCCATTGGTGTGGGGCTCTGGGACCCTGCTCAAAGCTTCAGCCAGAGGTGACACAGTTTGAATGTCACTCCTGTCATTAGGGTGTAGTGATACAAGGACAACTTAGATATGATGCCCGTTTCAAGAATGTCACATCCTAGTCTTATTTTAAGTAATTTGACTTACCTCATATAGTCTTTGGGTACAGTTGATGCACATAGTGTTAAAATAGAAGTCCTAAGAAAATTTAAAGGGGAAAAGTTAGAGGGAAAAGTCTCAGAAACTTTTTCTATGTAGTGGAGTGATTTGTCAAAGATTTGTCAAAGAGAGATGCGTAGGGTTATTTCAGCTGTAGGGTACCAGGACATAGACATGAGTAGTTCCTCAAGGGGTGTCTTGAACCTCCTATCTTAGCATCTACTTAGCTGCAGGTTCCTGGGTCCCACCTGACCTACAGAGTCAATGGCAGTGTTTGTAACCAGCAGCCCATGTGATTCTTACACCCGTTAAAATTTGAGATTATAGAGAGCAAAAAGCCAAGTTCTTCTAGACCAAATAGCATTACACTCTGATACACAGATATCACCAGGCATGGCTCTTCTGTGATGTTAAGATTTTGGGGTAAGTCTCAGGTACTTGCTGTTAAATAAAGTTACAAGGTCTCATCCAGTGGAGAGCTAGTATTTTGAAAAGGTGCTCATATTTCCTTGTTCAAATACAGTAATATAAATAGTAAATGATAAAATGGAATCTAAGGGAAAACTAGAGTAAGAGGTACAATGAAGTCAGATGTGAATCTAAAACTTAAAAATTTATGTATACCACAAGGTCCTGTGCAGTTATCATTAGTTGGGCCCTGAGCTTTCTGGCAGTCAGCACAGTAAGGAAAATGCCACGAATCACCACGTCCATAAGGTCAAAACAAATCAGGCACTCAGATGGCCCAGACCTTCCTGCATCTGAGACCTGAGGGAAGCTTCTCCTGAGGGAGACATTGTGTAGTAAATGCCTATCAAACATCCACACAGTACACAGGATGGATTTCCCGAGGCTGTCTCTCATTTCCATCTAGGGGCTGATTCACTCAAAATGCATTTCAGTTAAAGTAATTTAACTGGAAGACTTTCCATTGAAGAAGAAAACTGCCAAACAGTAGGTCGTTGAATGATTTCTGTAGCTTTAAATATGTGTTGGACATACTATGTGAGGCAGTAAAGTGATTTCGGTTTTATGGAATCATTACATAAAAGAGGGATTGGGTTTAAGTCTCTGAATCCTAGTTCAGCTGCCAGTCAGATTAAAAGGGCTGGGCTGTCATTTTTAAAATCTGTGATTCAAATAGAAATGTATTATGATAATACTTCATCTATCTAGGGCTCAACCATGTGGCAATCTCAGTTGCTGAAAATGTACTTGAAATAATCTGTAAGAAGTTAAAATACCCACTAAGAAGTTAAGTAACAGCCTCTGACTACAAGATAGGGACTCTGGCTTATTACCCATAGCAGACCCTCTCTTTTCCCCAGTCAGTGATGGTCTCCGGGAGACGGGGAGCAGGTGGGAAGCCGTGAGTCAGGAAAAGAGGGAGGAACCTCACCATACTGTCTTGTAAGATTGTATGGGGTTTCTGGAATGAAAATAAACGGATGAATCTCTGGAAAGACCCTCGCATCACAGCCAGCAATGAAGTGAGAAGCTGGTGGGCGAGAATCCTGCTTTCAGTTCCTGGATCTTTTTTTTTTTTAATTTTGTTTTATTGCAGTTATAGTTGATTTACAATATTGTGTTAGTTTCAAGCATGTAGCAAAGTGATATATATGTATATTATATGAAATATATATGAAAAATATGTATGTTCTTTTTCAGATTCTTCTCCATTATAGTTTATTACAAGCTATTGAATATAGTTCCCTATGCCATTCTTCCCCCATGTGAAATAACTTAGTTTCTTTATATTCTCCCATTATTTCTAAAATAGAGATACAAATTTACCTTTACATGAGAGTTCTGAAACTCCTGGACGGCATTAATCACTCCTCCTTTCTGGCACGTGTTTCTGTGGCAGGATTAGGTTGTTGGTCTCCTCCGCTAGTCAGTGGGTCCGAAGACAGGGATTCCAGCCTCTTCCTGCTTGTAGCGCTGGTCCGAGCACTGTGCCTGCAAGCCGAGCTGTCAGTGGGCATTTCCAAGGATGCAGGGTATTTCTTGTGAGCCTGTTTCCCTCAAGTCCTGGTTTGGCAAGTGCCACCTCTCTTTACTTGGCTGAAGCCTCCACAGGTCCTTATATCCTGGAGTGGGGGAGCCCTGTTCCTGTCACCTCTGGGAATAAGGAAGGGCCCCTCAATGTGAACGAGCTGGAATGGTCAAGAATGACAGTGGGGACTGGCAGGCAGGCTCCTGTGACTGCAGTCCTGTGCTGCCCGAGCCTCAGGCCCCCTCCTACCCAGGAGACTCTCATGAGGCATAGCCATTATTTTGGCCATCTTCCAGGACTGACTTCCTAAAGCAGCACCATTTTATGTATTTCCAATCACAGATAAAGATAATAGGACACTCAAGAATATTTGGGCAATCAAGAAAAAAATACCTGTAACCTAATTCCTTTTCTTCTTGCACATTCCTTTCCAGTAGTATCTGTACACATACTTAGGCTAGATTGTCTCTGGCTTACCTAGCATCGTCATAAATGAAACCTTTCCATACAGTGTACACTCTTCTTCTTTTTCTTTTCAATAGTCATATAGTATTCCATGTTACAGATTTCCATTCCAATTTTTTTTCACATTTTCTCTGTATTCCTTCACTTTTAAAAAATTAATTTTTATTGAATGCAGGGTTCTTTAAATTCTATAGTGCTTTACTATTTTCAAAAGTTTCACACACATGATTTCATATGATCCCATAACTCTTTCTTCCACCCATCTTGTCCCTTTCCCTCCCCTCTCCCCACCAGTAACCCTTCAGGTTTGATCTCTAGATCTGTGAGTCTGCTGTTTTTGCACACTCTTTTTTCAAATCATCAGGCTTAACCAGTGTACCTTCCATCGGGTAGGTTAATTATGACTTGAGTAACCTTTTAGTGTGCTTTTTCAAACCCTCAGAGCTGTAACATCTAAACCTAGTTTGCCTGTTGCTATAGAAAATGGCAGCTAAGACCAAGATCGAGTTGCATCAGAACATGGAGGACGAGCTGCAGCGGGAACACTTGGCTGCCGAGCAGCGCATGGTGCACAGGATCCAGCGGATCATGATGGAATGCCACTGTGAGAAGGTCCAGGCCGTGCAGGAGGCCCGGGCGGAGGAGAGGCGGGCGGCCCAGGAGGAGATCCAGGCCCAGAGAAGGTACTCGAGGCAGCATGTCTGCAAAGCAGCATCTCTCTCTGTCCAGGTCCCCCTGGGGAAAGGCGTAAGATCGAGGCACATAGGTGGATATTTCTCAGTTTTTGTGTTTCTGCATTTTTATTATGGCATATATTAAACATAGAAAGCCATATGCAATATGTTGTAGAATGTGTGTATGTGTGTGTGTTTAAAAAAAATAATAGCACTAATACTCAAGGATTTCCCAGCCCTCTGAAAGGACAGCAAATTGCTAACACTTCTGATATGCTATGTGTTCATCCTCAATCACAGTTCTTTCCTCTCTCCTCTCCCAAGTAATAACTGTTGTCCTCAAAATTGTGTTTTACTCTGTCTCCAGCTTTAGGTGAGGAGAGGAATCAAGAAATATTTTTCCACAGACACATAAAAGTTAATCTCCACATGCTGTAGCCCATATCGTACACTATTGTGGGTGTGTTATTTGGGTCTTTTTCTTATTACACAGTCATAATGCTCTGAATGAAGTTGACATATGGAAACATATACAGTACAAATTGCTAAGTCACTGCTTCCTACCCACTCCCTGCATCCGGAAGACAATCACTTTATTTTTATTATTCTGTTTTTAATGGAGGTACTCAGGATTGAACCCAGGACCTCGTGCATGCTAAGTACACGCTGTACCACTGAGCTATACCCTCCCCCACCAATCACTTTAAATAATGGGGTCTATATCCTTCTATGCCCTGTTGATGTGTTTACAGCCTTATATATGTGCATAATCATAAATAATTTTTACATAAATTGGATCATATTTATATGTGTGTGTGTGAAAAATACCAACCATTTTATATGTGTAATGAACATTTGATGGAATTGGCTAGTTTTAACAGGACGGCAGTCAGGACCCTAGTGATTATCAGGACCAGGAGAAAACCTCAGCTGCCAGTTATGAAGTGAGTGACCTGCCCAAGCTCAGGGAGCTGCTGCAGCAGAGCCCAGACTGAAACCTCTGTGTTGAGCGTCCTGGCCTAGGTCTTGTCTCTTGCTTTGCTGCCTGAGTTAACAAGCAAATCTATTGGTATATAGTTAACGGATAAACTCATCCTCGTCAGAGCTGTTTAGAACAGGGCCAAAGGTAAAAGCCTGTAGGAGGTGCGGGTAGATCGGAATGGGGCCATTTCGGTGGTACCTCTGTTCTTGCACAGGCTGTCAGTCATTGTCGAGGTCAAGGAGAAGGTTCAAGAAGGCAGTAACTCCCTAGTGAGTTGTGGTCCAAAGCAGTGGAAGGTGGGACTCCCTCTCCCTCTGCTCCCTACCCTTTGTCTGCAGGAGCATTGTTTGTTTTGAAGGAACCTCCGGGCCCACACACACCTGCAGCCTCCTGCCCCCTCCTTCGCCCTTTTGCTTTTTTCCCCCTTGGGCCCTTCCCTCCATGAGGTTCCAGTTGGAAGATTTTCGGTGGCCACCTTTCACTGAACTGGTTGACTTAAGATTAGGGGGATGCCATGCTTGTTGTTTGAGTTTATCCAACTAGAATGTCCATTTTGTTCATTGTTGTGTCCCAAGTGCCTGGAAGAGAGCCTGGCCCATGGTAGGCGATCTTTAAATATTTATCAAAGGTTCAGATTTGTTCCAGTCAGCTGAAACCACGCTGCAGCACACCAGATCTCATTTCTAGACCTTGCTAGATTTGAGTACTCTTTAGAGCCTTTGCAGAAACTAATATTTGGAGAAGGGCCACTGTTTAGAATTCCACTGTAGATCTCTTATTCGGCTATGAACTTGCACTCAAGACTTAAGAATTCAGAACACTGACATATCTATGACACATTTGTTAAATGCTCAGAAAACTTTTTTTGTAGATTGAGGTGATTAAATTCTAAACAGGTTATCTAGGAGACCTTGTACTCTTAAAGTTAAAAAAGAAATGAATTCTTTGCCTGGAAAGGTTCTAAGTGTTTTCTAGCCCAAGGCAGAGGCGTAAGTGGAGTGGCTGCTCAGGAGTTGGTGGTCGTGGCTGTAATTCCTGATGACAGTGACCCTGTATTCAACACCAGCACATGCAAGGCCCTTTGTGTGCTTCCCATTGAATCCTCACATTGCTTCCTAGGGGATTCAGTCATCCTCAATAGCTTCAGATGAATACTTTGAGTCTTAGAGAGAGACTAAGCAACCTGCCCCAAATTCATGGGGAGAGGAGGTCACAGACCATGTGACCTTGGTCTGTATGATGCCAAAGCTGTGACCTTCCATTATGCTACCCAGTACCCTCTGTGGATGTGGTCCTGAGCTCGAGCACAGAAGAATAAGGCTCTTTTCTCAATATTATGTGAAGTAACTAAAGCAGGGCAGTCCATGTGAGCAAGGCTAGATGGGTTTGTGCAAAGAACACATGGGGGCTGGAGGAGTTCTCAGTCCTGGGAGGATCAAGCTAAGAGTGTGTGGACTGTGTGGTGAGGTGGGTGTCTTGGAGGAAGTTGGTGTTGGGTTGGATCTTAGAGAGAAGGGTGGAGGTCTCATTTGGGAAAGACTGAAAAGAGTGGGAACAGCATGAGCAAACACATGGAGGGGGAAGGTGGGAGTAGAATGAGGCAGAGCCTGGGGAAGTTGGGTGTATTAATACCCCTGAGATAAAAATCTGCCGCTGAAGGTTGGCTCCTGGGGATGCTCCCCCTGACCTGTATGATGCCTGCAGCCCCAGCTCAGGGTATCACTGATCCTCCTCCTGTGACCAGGTGCAATAGGTTCCCAGTGTCTCAGGTAGGACATCAGGATATATTTTCCTTATAAACAAAATGGTTTTAGCTGGCTAAAATAGTGCTAAGTATCCTGTAGTTTAAGTGAAAAACAGATTTGCTCACCAGGCAAACGATTGACTGTGTCCAACGTTGCTCCGAACATTTGATGTACAAGTGAATTTGGGGAACACATCCCTTCATAATTTAGGAATCACCCCTGGAGAAATGAAGTGATGATTTTTACTGAACCAACACTGGGGCAGATAACTGGGGAAAGTTGGAAAGGACACTCCAAAAAATACCAGATCCTTTTAGCAGGAAGAGATTTTGATAGTAAGGAGTTTAAAGGGGGCTGTCATGGAGGGTGGGAGCTGGTCATTCAAGGTACACTTTGTTTGGCAGATGTACCTGAGATCAGCTCTGGTGGGGCTTCCTAGTCAGCCCCCCAGATGGGCACCTCTGTATGGGTCCAGAGAAAGCCAGGACGCCCTGGAAGGCAGCCCCCACCTGCTGGTGACAGAGCTGTGACTCTGGAGGAGTGTAGCTTCCTATTTGGGGATTTGGGGCTGCCTCAAGGAAGCTCCTTCCAGTTCTTTCTGATCTAAGCCCTGGGGCTCTGATCAATACCTTAACAGTCTCACCAACAGCCTGAAGATTTTATAAAACATAGGACTGAATCCTAAGACTGTGTGTAGATGCACCTTGTGAACTCTGTCTATGCCTCTGTTCTCCTGTGACGCAGGCTGAGAATCGGAAAGTTGGTTCTGATTCCTCTTCTTTCTGCAGCCCCTAAATCCTAGCAGTAACAAATCCTGGCACGTGTGACTTTGTACTGTTTCTTGGATTTATTCCTTTCTCTCCCTCTTCCTATCCCTTTCTCTTTCATCATTAATTTAGACCCTAATCATTGTATGCTCAGAATATTACAAAATTGTACAAATTGATCTCTCTACTTCACCCAACCAACTCAGATTCAGATATTGTCAGAATAACAGTTCTAAAATGTTATTTTCATTGTGTTGCCCTCCTGATAAAAAATGTCTAGTGCTCTCTTACACTATAGAAGCTGGTACTGTTTTCTGTTGAAGGGCAGGCACTCTCCCACTTGCTCAGTTGTGTGACATTGAACAAGAACTAAATCCCTGAGCCTCACTGTCCTCACCTGATACATGGGAATAATAAGAGGTAATAAAAAAGAAATAGTACCAGCTTCAGTGGTGAAAACTAAATGAGATAGACTGCATGTGAATTGCTTAGCACAGTCCCTAAGACACAGTTCATGCTCAGCAAATGTTAACCCTTGTTATTAATAGTGGTTATGGCCTAGCTGGCGGGAAGGGGAATGAGGAAAAGTGGCACAGCAGCTGGGGAGGCTGACGACCGATGGTGTTTACCCGAAGGTTGGGGAGGTTTATCGGATTTGAAAGTCAAGTTCAAAGAACCAGAGGCAGTCTTGGAGGACAGGCGTGAGGGCAGGTGGTCAGTCTTGGAAAGACTATGTTAGACTAGGGGGCGGAGAAGGAAGGATTCTTATAACCATACATACTTGAATTCCACATTTGTAGGTTTTAAATTCTCAAATCTTTAGAGGCTCTGCTCAAACGAGGTTGTCAGGAGACACCCACCAGGCACGTACCCTGGGGCCACGAGCTTTCGCCAGGGACCCAGACTGCCTGGGTTGTAGTGCTCTACTCGTTCTGCCATTTTTTTCTGATTAAGTGAAGCTGAGCTAGTTACTTAACCTCTCTGAGCCTCAGTTTCCTCATCTGTAAAATAGACCTAATAATAGCACTGCCTCATAGACTTGTTTGAGGAATCATTGGGTTAGGATATGCATGGAATCTCATCAGTCTGCCTGGCGCATGGTGAGAATTTACTGTGATTGGCTGCTGTAAATTATATATGATTATATACATTATAACAGAGGTCTGTGAATGCAGTGGTTCTCAAAGGATGGCCCTAGAACCCCTCAGAGTTCCTGAGACCCTTTCAGGGGGTCCCTGAAGTCAAAGCTATTTTCTTAATAATAATATGTTATTTGCCTTTTCACTTTCATTATCTCTTGAGTATATAGTGGCATTTTCCAGGGTTTTTATGATATGTGATAGATAGCTCAACAGATGGAAACAATACAAAAATCTAGCTTTTTCCTGTTAAGCCAGACAGTAAAGAGTTTTGCCAGAAATGTAAAATGATGCCACTTTTCTCACCAAAAGTTTTTTTGATTTAGAAAATATACTTTTCAGAAAAGGTAAGTTTTTCACATTAACATTGAGTAGATTTATTGATACCTCATGTGAATTTACAAGTGTATTTTAAATGTCCGACTTTTTAATTTCTAAAACTGTTAGGGTCACTAGAAATAACCCATATAAACAAAAGATCTTTGGGCTTCTTGGTTCATTTTAAGAGTGAAAAGTGGTTCTTAGACCAAAAAGTTTGAGACTGCTGCCAGAGTATCGCTCAGGCAGAATCAAGATTAGAGTTAAACTCACCCTGTGAGTAGGGTTTCCTCCCCTCTGGCCAAAGGTAAGCAGCTGTGTTGATATATAGAAATACCTTCCCTAGGGGTTTGGAACCCTGTTTCTTCATTTTTTAAGAACTGTACATTCATACTCTTCCAACTCAGATCCCTGAAGTTAGTGTCAGACACTAGACCAGCGGCCTCACCCTAGCCCTCAGTGGGGAAGTCCATGTGCTACTTCCCTGCTCTGGAAAGCGTCTTTTTGATTGTTACCATCTAAGCCAAAAGTTTATCTCTACCAGCCTGACTCAGACTGGTGACTCATGTAAACAGCGGAGTCATTTCTCATACGTCTGTGGTGAGAGACAAAATCTTTCTGTTTTCAGCAGCTAATCCATCTAATATTAATATTCAACCCATATGGGTTTTTTGTAGAAAGGCCTTGGAGGAGCTTGTGAATACTGGTGTCACGGTTGTTAAGGATCAGAAGAGTGTGAGCCAACTGATAAAGCGGAAGGAGCATGAAATGAACGTCTACTACTGCATGGCTCAGAGGCAGGAGCATGAGGAGGTGCAGGCAATGCTTCAGGAGGCCGAGAAGACACATCAGGTCGCGCTTGGAAACGTGACGGATAAACTGGTCAGCACGCAGGGGGAGCTGCTGTCCATAGCGAAACAGCTGGGAATTATGACAAATTGGAAAGATTTCCTGGAGGAAGAGTTACAGGAAACGAGGGCAGCATTTCAAAAATACATCAATTATACATTTCCTAAGCTCTCCCCGGGGCATGCAGATTTCCTTCTGCCCGAAAGAAAGAAAACACCTTCCAGTCTTATCCCTCAGGAGAATGAAACAACTCTTGACTAGAAGTCTTCATCTGAAATTTCACTACAAAAGACATTGTTCTAAAGACTAAATAAATTCACTCAAAGACCATTTGTTGACCCCCGGGTTATATACAGGAACTGTTGAGCTGTAAACATTTTGGTGGAAAACCAAAACATTTGAAAGTACATTCCAGGCAACAATGAGTTCCAAGTCTAACTGAGGAGAGATAACAGTGGGGAGGCTGTTTGATTAGGAGGGAGGAAGGGCCCTTGGAAGAAGTTTAAGCAAACTTCCATATCTGGCTTTATTCATGTTTACATCAGACGTAGTTTAGTATTTGTTGCAGTTGAAAACGAGTACAGGGACATGATCTTAGATTGTTCCCATTGTGGAGAGGTGTGCCAACTTCCAGGACTTATAGGAATCCAGTCTAGAAATTGTTATTTGGTGAACGGCAATAGCATTGGAGGGAAAAAAGCAATGTTGCTCAAATTTTAATAGGATAAAACTTAAATTCTGGGAACCCTGTATAATATAATTCAGAAAAGGTTCACTTATATTTGCCATCTGTGAAAGAAAAATATGTCTTTAGAAGTCAGGTTCCCTGCCTGAGGGATGGGGAGTCCTCTTGTGTTTATACCCAGGCCTGGGAGTGCTTTGAACTCATCTCCTTTGGGTCAAAATACAGAAAATTGTTATGTACCACAGTGCTCAGGACCAACACATGTCAACATCTACTAAATTAAAATGGAAGAAGACTCAAGTTTGTAAAAGACCTCTCCAAAAAATCTATCCACTTTAATGTAGCATCCTTAAGTTATTAATCACTTTAAAATTGGCTTTAAAATGAAGTACTGGGGAAGCAGTTTTCACTATATTAAAAAGTGCTGTTCCCAGGTAAGCCTGAGGGAGTTTGTTTACACTGCCAGGTCTGGGGTTTCCTGGTGGGAAGGGCAGCAGTTTGTTTACAGTTGCAGAATGGTCCGCACTCTCCTAGGGTTCCTGGTGCTGCAGGACTGTTGCCGTCCATACTCCTCGATTGCCTCTGGGCCGGAAGTAAGAGTGTTTAACCCAGTGCTTTACCCTGCTCTTTCCAGTACATTTTTCTCACAGCAGTCAGCGGGAGAGGCAGGGAGGGGTGGTTGTTACTGCATTTTTGACAAATGATAAAAACTACTAGGTACTAAAGTATTTACATGGGTGAAGCACTTTTTTAAAATTGAAGTATAGTTGATTTACAATATTGTGTTAGTTTCAGATACACAGTGAAGTCATTCAGTTTTGTGCATATATATATAATTTTTTAGATCATTTTCCAATATAGCTTGTAAGATATTGAATATAGTTCCCTGTGCTATACAGTAAATCCTTGCTGTTTATCTGTTTTATAATAGTAGTGTGTATCTGTTAACCTTATACTCCTAATTTATCTCTCCCCCACTCTTCTTCTCTTTGGTAACCATAAATTTGTTTTCAGTGTCTATGAATCTGTTTCTGTTTTGTAAATAGATTCATTTGTATTACTTTTTAGATTCCACTTATAAGTAATGTCATATAATACTTGTCTTTCTCTGTGTGGCTGACTTAGGATGATAATCTCTAGGTCCATCCATGGTGCTGCATTATTTCATTCTTTTTTATGGCTGAGTAGTATTCCATTGTGTATGTACACCACATCTTTTTAAGCCAGTCATCTATTGATGGGCACTTGGATTGCTTCCATGTCTTGGCTGTTGTAAATAATGCTGCTATGAACATTAGGGTGCATATATCTTTTTTGAATTAGAGTTTTCTCCGGACATATGCCCAAGAGTGGAGTTGCTGAATCATGTGGTAAGTCTGTTTTTAGTTTTTTAGGGAAGCTCCATACCGTTTGCCATAGTGGCTGCACCAATTTACATTCCCACCAACAGTTTAGGAGAGATCTCTTTTCTCTACACATGAAGCACTTTAAAAATGTTAATTTTTAATCCTCACAGCACCTTTTGAAAGTTATTATCATTGTCCCAAATTTATGGGGGCGGGAAACCGAGGCTCAGGAAGATTCAATAACTTTCCCCAGGCACACAGAGTCGGAATTCAAAATATTGCAAGGCATGGGCAGATGGATGCATGAGAGAGACCTGGGTTTTTCAGAATTGAATAGATAAGAATAGCAGCTGACACTGGGGAGTGCTAGCGTGTGCCAGGCACACGTACACAAGTGGACTCAGTCATTTTCACAGCATTCTGTGAAAGCTAGGAACCATTAACATTGGCACAGACAGGTTAAGTCACTTTCTCAGTGTTACACAGCAAGTAGGCATCAGAGCCAGTTTCAAATCCATAAAGTGAGTCTTCAGCCCATGTCTTTCATCATTATTTTGTTCAGCTGAATGTAAAGGCCTTGGTGCCTGGTTTGTTGACTGCATGTGTGTGTCTTCATGGGTTCTGTGATGAGGACTGGAAAGACATGGTATGTCCATGTCAAGCATCGTTTTTTTCTCTTGTAGAAGTGAAAGGAAGTTGTATCTAGAATTGTGGTGTCTGAGTTATTGGAGTCGTCCACTACATTCACAGTTGAGCACACAACATATGGGAGCGAAAAGAAACTGTCTTCTGAACAGTTCACTTCCTGGCCACAGTTGAGGTGTTTCTTTTGGCATCAGTGACACAGTGAGTAACAAAAAGGAAGCAGGCAGCTTATTTTTGGTTTGGAAAAAGGCACCTAGCTTCTCAGTCTTCAGCCAGATTGGAATAAATTAAATTATGCATGTTTTTAGTATTTTCCTTGTTTATACTCCACCCTCTGCTCCTACCCCAAACTCAAACAACACCTTCCTTAGGATTTTTAAAGTAATCTGCATGCTTCTGAGAAGGGAAGAGTTAGGGATCTTACTACTGTCCTGATCCCAGCTTGACCTCCCCAGACAGCTCCCTGCCCACCAGAGGGCTCCTCACCCACTCCCTCAACGTGCTAATCAGCCCTCACATTGTAGGGGTGATCACAGGGGATCCTATGAGGACAGACTGACCTGATCCCAGACCCCCATTTGCCTCTCACCTTACAGCCTAGAGTCAGTACCAGCCATGCGGGGAGGGACTTCTCCAGTCCTCTCTTCTCAGTCAGCTCTACCTGTCCTAAGGCCAAAGTGAAGAAACAGCATCTCTGTTCTTACCCAAATCCTTCACTTTGATCTGATCCCCTCAACCCACAGTTCTTTCTAGCTTGAATGTCTCCCAGGTAATATACCCCTGAGAATTAAAGTTTAAAGTGGATGGATAATTTGCATCAAAGAGTAGAAAAAGCTGATGGTAAACTAAAAATACGACCTCACTCATATTTCCAGTATCCCATCTATGGAGCCTCTCCACAGTTTCTTGTTCTGTGGCCCTGAGTAAGGATGATCCTTGTGGATAAAAAAAGAAACAATGGAAAATGTAGCAGTGACCATTTATTGAGCCTCTGCTATATCTCAGGTATTATTCCAAGTTCCTTACTAAACCTTGTCTCATCGAAATCTCACAGCAACCCCATAACATGCCTCCTGTTATCCACATTTTGAGAATTAGAAAACGGACTCAGAGGAGTAAAATCACATGTTGAAAAAGTCACAAGACCATTTGACTGCGAAGCCTGGGTGTTTTCTACGAGTGCAGCACGTCAGCCTCATGTGGTGCCTGTGTAAACACTGAGTAGGCGTCAGGGGTGCACTGCTTCCAAAATGTATTGGAACTGTAGCAGGCAATTCTGAATGACTGTGTAGAACACAAACTCTTCCGGTGGACATGGGCTGCGGGAGCCAAGAATTAATCACGCTTCCCTGAATGTGGCTGAAGGTGCCTCCCCATGCGGAGCCCCAGGGATAAATGTATGGAGGGGCGCCCCTGGAGCTCCCCCTCACCATTCCAGTGTCAAGAAGGACAGACTCCTCCTCAGGGTTTGGGAGAGGGATCAAAAGCCTGTAGCTCAAAGATGAGAATTGCAGAGTCAAGTGAAAATTGAAAGTGAAGTATGTTTGTGAAATCTCAGTGGGACCCTTACTCCAGTTTTTTTTAGCAAAACCTGTTTGAAGCTAAATCAGGCTGTTTTCAAAAAGAAAGATTCACTGAGTGAACCAATTTTTAGTATAACTTGACTTGAGAACTCTTAGTAACTCTCCTGGTACCAATTATTTTGAGTACAATGCCTGGAGAGGCCACTATGGGCCTCAGATACTAAGCCCCATGTAAGTTACTAAAATTGTAAACATTTTGGAGAGTTACTTTAAAAAGAGCTTAAAGAGTGCGTTTTTCTTGGTTGTCTTAGATGCTCCCTGTACACTGGAGGAGTGCATGCAGTTCCCATGGTTTCTGGTATTTAGGAAACTATGTTAATTCTTACAGGCCATCTGGGAACTTAATTTGAGGACTCTAAGAAATTATTGCAGTTTAAGTTTCTAGAAGTCATCCCACCAAAAAAAGAACCTTGCTTTTAGGGAAAATAGACCTATGGGCTGGGAAAGAGGTGCTGAGCATCCGTAGGAGAGATGGAGAAGCTACCCTCACCCCCACAACAGTCACAAAGCACAGATGTCATGCTATTTAATAATCAGTGGACCTTTACATTGCAAAGGAGTCACTCCAGTATTGTCTTTCTCGGACTTTGATTCCATTTGACCTATTTAAAGCCTCCGTATTCTAGCTTTGGGGACCTTACTTCCACTGAAACCACGTAGACACTGTTTGGCAAAACGTAAGTTTGTTTACAGAACAGAGAATTTTGGCATTTGCTGCCTCTAATAAACTCTCCTGTTTGCTT